ACACACACACACACACACACACACACACACACACACACACACACACAAAACCTAGGAATTGTAGCTTAGTGGTAGAGTGCCTGCCTAGCATGTACAGGGTTCTAGTACCATAAAAACAAATAAATAAAACAAAAATAGAAGTTAGGTAAGGGGCTGGAGGGATGGCTCAGTGGTTAAGAGCACTGACTGCTTTGGAGGTCTTGAGTTCAATTCCCAGCAACCACATGGTAGCTCACAATCATCTCCAATGGGGTCTGATTCCCTCTTCTGGCGTGTCTGAAGAGAGCAATGGTGTACTCATATCCATAAAATTAAATAAATAGATCATTAAAAAAAGAAGACTTTTTTTTTTTAAGTAAGGTAAGGTAAACAGTTCTAATGATTTTCTCAAGTACTCTACCTGTGGTTCTGGAGGCCAAGAGTCATAGGATAAAACCTGGTGTTTAGATCTGACTTCATTACCAACATATGACCACAAGGAGGGCACTCATTACAGCATCTAACTGTCTTGTAGGAACCTGGCAAGATTTCACTGTTCAAAACTCAACATATGGGGCTGTGGAGGCAGTAGGCAAAACACTTGCCCTGCATGCTCAAGGACTGAAGTTAAGACCTACTTAAAAAGCCAGGTTGCTGGCTGGTGAGATGGCTCAGTGATTAAGAGCACTGACTGTTCTTCCAGAGGTCATGAGTTCAAATCCCAGCAACCACATGGTGGCTCACAACCATCTGTAATGATATCTGATGCCCTCTTGTGGGGTGTCTGAAGACAGCTACAGTGTACTTACATATAATAATAATAATAAAAAAGAACTGACATTAAAAAAAAAAAAGCCAGGTTGGGGGTTGGAGAAATATGATGGTTAAGAGCACTTGCTGCTCTTCCAGAGGACCTGAGTTCAATTCTCAGTATCCACATAGTGGCTCAAAAACTTTTGTATTTCTAGTTCTGGAGGATGCAAAACCCTATTTTGGCCCCCAAGGGTACCAGGCATGCACATGGTACATATTCATATATGCATGCAGAACACCTGCACACAATTTTTTGTTTGTTTGTTTTTGTTTTTTGAGACAAGGTTTCTCTGTGTATCCCTGACTGTCCTGGGACTCACTCTGTAGACCAGGCTAGCCTCGAACTCTCGAACTCAGAAATCTGCCTGCCTCTGCCTCCAAAGTGCTGGGATTAAAGGCGTGTGCCACCACCGCCTGGCTTGGGATATATTTTTTAAAATCCAGGTGAAAGCCAGATGGTGCTGTGTGAGTTTGAGACTAGCCTAGTCTACATAGCAAGTTCCAGAACAGCCAGGGCTACAGAGCCCTTCTCAAAAACAAACCAACAAACAAAGCCAGATGGCATGGTGGCTACCCTTTAATCTGTTGCAATAATTGTCTTATTTCCAGCTTGTCACCAAGTCTGTATATCCAGTAAATTTGTAGCTGAGACTGGCCCAAGGTCACTATAGCCAAGGATGACCTTGAACTCCTGATCCTGCTGCCTGAACCTTTCTGGCATTGGGATTACATGTGAATGCCAGCATACCCAGCTCCAAAAAATTGGTTTGTTTTTTGTTTTTTTGAGACAGGTTTTCTCTGTGTAGCTCAGGCTGTCCTCAGACTTAGATTCACCTACCTCTGCAACGCTAGTGCTGAGATTAAAGGTATGTGCCTCTGCACCCAGCTAAGCTTAGTAACTTTTTAATAGCATTTGCTAAGTGCTATCTAGGTTTAAAGATACAATTATAACTCATTCCCAGCTACTGTGGAGTGGAGTGTAGAAAATACAGCTCAGCTGTGAGTAGTGGCCAGAAGAGGGTGTTAGTGTCTTCCTCTGTCCCTCCACTTATTTCCTGAACCTAGGCTGGAAGCCAGCCAGCTCTGGTATCCTCCTGTCTCCATGTTTCTCAGTTACAAGTAGTTGCAAGTGTTTGTGGGATGTCCAGCTTATTATGTGGGTACTCAAATTCAAACTCTGGTACATACAACTGTGTGGCAAGTGCAAACCCATAAAGTTTTTACGTGTATAGTTATGGAGTGGGGCACTCTCAGTCTCAGGTGTGGTGGTCTTTGTTGGGTCTGGAAAAGGATGGTACGTTTATACACAGGAGCTCCTCCGCCTTGCCTGGAGATGTGCTCCTGTGTTGTGTGAAGCCTCGGAGCTTTGATAGATTCGAAGCTATGAAACTGCATGTACACAGGAGGCCTGGGATACACCCAGTTTCTCTGTAAGCCGTACCTCATGAATGAACAGCCCTGACCACTGTGGTCTCTGTCTCTAGGTCCGGACACTGTTTGTCAGTGGCCTCCCTGTGGATATTAAACCTAGAGAACTCTACCTGCTCTTCCGGCCATTCAAGGTGAGTCAGGACCAGGAGCCCCCAGAGCCCAGGATCAGGGCTGAGCAGCAAGAATGAGTCTTTGCTGTGGATTGAACAAGTGTGGATTGAAAGTGTTTCAGAAACTGGGGTCACATATCTGGTCCCATCTATGACGGTTCTGTCTCATGCCTGTGTTTACTCATCTGTAAAGTGAAGATGGTAAAGAAGCTGAAGAAACTGGATAAGGGACTTGCTCTTGAGTTACAAGGTAGTAGAGCCCTGGGAAAGCCCTGGGCACTGCTATATCATCATGTGATTCAGAATGCTAAGGCAGCAGGAACTCAGCATCAGTGTGAGGGTTGCCTTTGGAGGATTACAGAGTGATTCAGGGGATCACTGAGGAAAGACGACGCTGAGGGGAAAACAGTGCTGGGTTAGCATAGCAACAGCTTCTGACCCCCTGAAACGGCCACCTCTCTCCACAGGGCTATGAAGGGTCCCTGATCAAGCTCACCTCAGGACAGGTAATTTCTCTCATAGCTTTTTCCTCTCGGCCCAGGCTAACTGCTGGCATGGAACTGAATCGTGTGTCCTACTGTTTGAAGGCATCTGAAGGTGGAAACCCACTCCTTGTTGTCTTGCTTCTGCCCTGACAGAAGGACAGCCTCCACAGCTCTCTCCTCTTTTCTATCCAGCTGTGCCTTGTCAGACCCTCTCCTTTCTGTCCGGCTCTGGCATTCTGGAACCACAGACTGCCTGGCCCCAGTGGCTGAAGACAGTAGAGATGAGATGATAGCAGAGCCTCCTGGAGGCCGCTAGGAGTGTGAAGTCAGAAGCTTTTACCTTTATCTGCATGTATTTACAAATGCTTCTGGGGTGTGGTTACAGCTTGGTGATAGAGCACTTGCCTAACTTGCAAGACCTTGCTTTAGTCCTTGGTGCTGCTCTCAATTAAAAAAAAAATAAACAACAACAACAAAAAACTTACAGAAAAGGTGATGTTTAATATGGCCCATGAGCCAGTGCTGTTTGGTATCATTTAATAGTGTGGTACTTAGAAGGGACACTTAACTTAGTTGCTTGTGAATTGTAAATCTTCCAGACCTAGGGAGAGTGTGGACAGGAGCTTTATTTCTTCTGTATTCCTTAGCCAGCAAGTGAAATACTGTTTCTAATTAGGTGTTTTTTTCTTCTTATTCCTCCTCTTCCTCTTCTTCCTCCTACTCTCCCCCTTCTCTTCTCCCTCCTCCTCCTCCTCCTCTTCTTCCTCCTCTTCCTCCTATTGTTGTTGTTATTGTGTTTGTGGTATTGCAGGGGTCAAGCCCAAGGTCTTGGACATGCTAGGCAAGTGCTGGACCTGGGGTGCAAATGTAAGGTGGGGAGAGATGCAAGGCTGTTCTTTCTTTCTTCCCTCTAGCTTGTTGGTTTTGTGATCTTTGACAGCCGGGCAGGAGCGGAAGCAGCCAAAAACGCATTGAATGTGAGTAGACAGAGGCTGTGCCCTTTCTCTGATGAGATGATTGGCTTTGTTCTGTCCGCTCTGCACACCCAATAAACACACGGGCTTTTATTTCCCACCCATCCCAGGGCAGAATCTTTGGCTGCCTGGTTTGTGACAGTGTCATCACCCCACAGCTCAGCAGCATCCCTCTGCTGTAGCCCTTTGTGGAAAAGTCTCACAGCTGAGCTTGCTTCTGGGGCCTTGTGTGCATCTCTCTTTTCTTCCCATCTAGGGTATTCGCTTTGATCCAGAGAAACCACAGACTCTGAGGGTAGAGTTTGCCAAAGCCAACACCAAGATGGCCAAGAACAAACTAATAGCAACACCAAATCCCAGCAGTGTCCACCGTGCCCTAGGAGCACACTTGACTGATCGGGACCCTTGTGAGTGGGGCTCTGACCTTCCTTCTCCTGCCCTTTGGCTTGATCTAGGTCAGCAGGCTCTCGTTAAACTGCCATATTCAGATCCTGAGATCAGTTGTGTCTCCTTTTCTGGGACTTTCTTTCAGCCATAGCCACTTAGCACTCCACTTCTTCCTCTGCAGCCTTTTCTAGACTCAAGAAGGCTGGGCTCCAAGGCTGTTAGGGCTGCAAGATATGAAGATTTGAAGCCTTTTTGTGATTTCTCTTGTTTAATATAGACTATCTCTGGCCTGCTTGAGATCTTCTTGAAATAGGGTATTCATTATGCCAGGCAAGTTCACAGGACTTCTTTCCCTGGTCTTGAGGACGGGGAACTGTGCTTCAGTTATAATGCTGGGTCCTTTTCTGTATGGAAAGGGGTGTTGGGAGGGGAGACCAGTGTTCTGACTATGGAGGCTGTTGTCTCCTGTTATAGATGACCTGATGGGGGCTGCTCTGATTCCTGCATCCCCAGAGGCCTGGGCCCCTTACCCTCTCATCACCACAGAGCTGACCCCAGCCATTTCTCATACTGCGTTCACCTACCCAACTACGACTGCTGCTGCCGCTGCCGCTGCCGCTGTCCCCCTACATGTTCAGGTAAGACATTTTGGGTGGAGGAGTGGAAGGCTCAAGGCAGACAAGCTGGGTTTGCCTACCATAGGCATAGGCTGCTCTTGTCTCTGGGGCTGCAGCCAACAGAATTACTGTCTTCTCTCAGGATTGGTAGCTTGTGTCTGTAACCTTAGTATTTAGGAAACTGAGGCAGGAGGATTGCTGGGATTTTTAAGACAGGCTGAACTAAAATGTGAGACATGCTGTAAAACAAACAAACAAACAAAAAATCCAAAAAACCCCACAACTGTTGTGTTCCCAGATTATTTTGGAATCAGTGTCCCCGGGGACACTGTTAGGAGCAGAAAACTGGGACATGCAGGCAGGTCTGCTCGGCCTTCCTGTCTTTATGAACTTAAGCTTTTGGAGGTTTCCATGCCTCAGTTATTACTCTGGAGAACTAGAATAATGTACTGTGCCTTTGGATTGTTTAGAGTTGGGTAGTAACACAATGAAGGCCAGAACTTTGCCTGGAGAGTTTAGGACTCCCACTTAATCCCATTTATGTGAGTCTCATATGTGCAGAGCTTTTGAGAGTCATCTTTCTACCATGTGGGACAACCATCTTGTCAGCCCTGTTTTTTTGTTTTTTGTTTTTTTTTTTGGTGGATTTTATTGGTTTAATTTGCTTTGTTGGTAGATTTAAGTTTTTAAAGGGCAAGGTAGGGGCCCTTATGTAGCCCAGGCTGGCCTTGAGCTCCAGATACTCCTGCCTCTGCCTCTACTTCCCAAATGCTGGGATTGCAAGCATACAACACAACACCTGACTTCTTTTCTTTTGTGTGTGTGTGCATGTGTGTGTGTGTGTGTGTGTGTGAGAGAGAGAGAGAGAGACAGTGCAAGGCACTATGATCCCAACCCTGCTGCTAATTAGCTACATGATCTTCACCCGTAGGCCCCGTGTGCTCTTTTGTAAAATGAGAAGGCTCTGCTGCGTCAGGTATATGGAGCCAGCAACAGTGGGTTTGTCAAGTGAAACCCAGGAGAGGCTCCTCTGCTCTGCTAGCTGGGGGCTGTGTCCTGCTTCTGGTCCCTGAACTCTGTAGCTGCCTGTCCTGTGGTTCCCGTCCCAGATCCTGGCCCCCATTACTCAACCTCAGTGTGACCTTAACAAGTTGCTTAACTTTATTTTTTTCCATTTCCGTATTAAAATAGTGACAATGGTGCTTACTTGAAGGTGGACGCCACACACACACAGTTTTGTTTGTTGTTTGTTTGTAAAGCTTTGGTTTGGTTTTGTAGCCAAGGTCTCTTGTGTTCCAGGCTGATTTCTAATTGCAGTGTGTAGCCAGGAGTCAGGATAGCCTTGATTTGAGCCTCTCATCCCGCTGTCATCTCTACCTCCAGAGTGCTGAGATCACAGGCAGGCATCTCCCTGGTTTACTTGGTACTCAGGATGGATACTAAGCTTGTAGTATCAACTGAGCTACATCTCAAGGGGTCCCCTCCCCCAGATCCCCCCACTTTAAAAAAAAAAAGATTTTATGTATATGAGCACTCTATTTGCATGCACACCTGCAAGCCAGAAGAGGGCATTAGATCCCATTACAGATGGTTGTGAGCCACCATGTGGTTGCTGGGGATTGAACTCAGGACCTCTGGAAGAATAGCCAGTGCTCTTAACCACTGAGCCATCTCTCCAGCCCCCACCTCCACCCCCTGGCCTTTTTAAAGACAGTTTCTCTGTATAGCCCTGGTTGTTCTAGAACTCTTCATGTAGACCAGGCTGGCCTTGAATTCAGAGATCACCTGCCTCTGCCTCCCAAGTGCTGGGCTTTGTGCTTTTTGAGACAGGGTCTCATGAATCCTAGGGTGACCTTGATCTCCTAATCTCCCCCATCTTAGAATGCTAGGGTAACTTGTGTTCTGCCACACTCAGCTTTGATACAGCTGTCAGCATAAATAAAGTACTGTCAAACTGCCAGAGTTGATGATTGCTAAGGCAGGGGGATTATTATTGTCTGGCTGGATGTCTGAGGTCTGTGTATACCTGAGATGCTGCCTTCTAGTCTTCCTGGGTACAGGAAGGAGGCCACCCTGAAGCACACTGGCATATCTTGGAGGGAGACTAATGATGAAACAGTCTTTAGTTCTGACCCTGGTTTTCAGACTCACTGGACACTTGCACTAGAAGACGCCATGACGACCAGATGTAGTTATTAGGCATACAGCATATTCCATGTAGTGATATCTTGTTTTTCCTTTTCAAGAACCCTTCCCTGCTATGTTCCATGACAGTACTGCGCCTGAAGTGAGGCTGGAAGAATCTAAATAAGGAAGTGAACACTTGAGTCTAAGTAAGAGATCCTAACCCAGAGAACCAACAGAAATATGAAGGGCAAGGAGGTGACCTTGAGAAATGGTGACAGGTAAAAAATGAAAGGCAAGGAGGTTTGAGAACTCATTCCCACCATTGTTCCCCCGTCCTGTGCATCTCAGCCTCCACAGCCCAGTGACTGCACAGATCACACCTGTAGGAGGCCCTGAAGAGAATTCTGTAGTTGCTGGGAATTGAACTCAGGACCTTTGGAAGGGCAGTCAGTGCTCTTAACCACTGAGCTATCTCTTCAGCTCTCTTGGCTTTTTGAGTCAAAGTTTCATGCACCCAAGGCCAGCCTGGAACTCCTCATTCTCTTACCTCTACCGCCTGAGTTCTAGCATAGGAGTGTAACCACCATGCCTTGCTGGCACTTAATCTTAGGACAGTTAGTTTTCCACATCAGTAACAAGATTTATGTCCAGTTGCCTGGCTGGCACAGCATTGTATAAATGCGCCAGCTCCTGTCCCATGTCAAAGAAGTTATTGAAAGCTCCTTCCTGCTGACAAGATCTAGTGAGGTGGGTCCCTAGTGTGGGTAGTTGGCTTGATGGGTTTTTCTTATGGCAAATTCCTGGACCTATTACAAAGTCATGGTGCAAACTTGATAGTCTTGTCAGGCAAGGAGTGAAGTTTGTTGACTCTGTGATCCATTAAAACATTTACTTAATGTCATCCTCATCATCTATGATGTTTATGTGGGCCTGATGCCATGGTGTATGTATGGAGGTTAGAGGGCAAGAAGAGGAGACGGAGATAGGGACTGGAATACTTTTTAGAGGGACCCAGGCCACAGGCATATGCCAGGCATCTGTGAGGTGTTCCACAGCAATCCCACTGAATGCATCCATTCAAATACATTCCTTTGGCATCTGTGGCCTGGCTGCCATGGGCCCATAAATGTCCCCAAACCCCTACCTCTATACTCTGAGACTGAGGAACAGCTATAGTTGGGACACCTGAGGAGCAAGTATGGAAGAGACTTTCAAGCAGCCCCCTGAGGCCTCAGCTCCTCTGTTTGGAAGACTTCCCTCCAGTTACCCTTTGTCTGGTCCCGTGGGCTGCCAGCCAGTCAAGCACTGATTGTCACAGGGCTGTTCCAGCTGGCTGGAGCCCTGAGCTTCTGCAGACGACTACTACTACTTCTCCTCCTCCTTCTCCTCCTCCTCCTCCTCTTCCTCCTCCTCTTCCTCCTCCTCCTCCTCCTCCTCCTTCTTTCCTTGTTTGTGAATATATTCTAGTGTCTACCCCGGCATCCAGCTAAGAGGGCATCCTAGCCCAGCAGTGGGCCTGAGGAACTTCCTCCCATACAGCTGTCAACCAGAAGGGAGAGCCTGTCCTGCTACATGCCAAGTGTACAAGTGTTAGGATAATCAGCCCCTAATTTCTCATCACCATCTGTCCAAGTAGTACCTAGAATTGAGAGGAATACAGAGAGATGGCCTGGCATTGGTCATACCCTTTCTGCTTACCCAAGAAGCAGGAATCACATGCACCCAAATGGGCCAACGGGATCTGCCTACTATAGCTCCGTGTGTGTTGTCTGAATGCTTAGCTTCTAATTCATTCTCCACAGTGGCTCTTAAGTTCCACCCCACTCTTTCCTCTAGGCTCTTCTCCTGGATGCTCAGACCCACCTCCCCCAGTTGGTTCTGGGTCAGTCTGGGGCTGACACACTCCTCCCTTGCTGTGCATTGCTGTGCATTGCTGGAGCAGGTTCCTTCCCTTGAAACCTTAAGGCAGCAGCTGAGCTGTTCTTGCCAGATACCTAGCTCACAGAGAGGGATATACACTGTTTTATTGACCAGTCTCTGAGAATTCAGCTTCCGGGCCTTCTGTGACTGTCATAGTGTCAGAAGCTGTTGCACTCTAGGATCATCTAAAGCTGTCTCCTCCTGCCTGAGGGCTCAGTGGGGCTTTTGAGTCTCTGAATTTAGGAGCCATGTAACAAGAGCATGGGATAGATAGAAAGGTCAAAAATGGCTGCATTGAAGAATTGCCATGACCCATGTATGGAGACCCGTTCCTTGGAGACCACACCGGCTTTGATGTCTTAATGTCTTACCTGCTGTCTTGCTTGCTCTTTACAGCCATGTTTGTTCTGTAGCTAGATTGAGAAATGTATCCAAAGAAGCAGCACGAAATGTGTCAAGCTCATTCTCCTGTTAATACTTTTTCAGGCTAGGCATCACTTTTGGCAGAGTTTACATAGGATGCCTGAAGCCCTGGGTTCAATCCCCAGCCCTACATAAAACAAGCATGGTTGCTCATTTCTGTAATCCCAGCACTCAAAAGGTAGAGGCAAAATAGGGTCAGAAATTCAAGGTTGCCGGGCAGTGGTGGCGCACCCCTTTAATCCCAGCACTTGGGAGGCAGAGGCAGGCGGATTTCTGAGTTCGAGGCCAGCCTGGTCTACAGAGTGAGTTCCAGGACAGCCAGGACTACTCAGAGAAACCCTGTCTCAAAAAACAAAAATCAAAAAAAAAAAAAAAGAAAGAAAAAAAAAGTGGGGTTCAAATCCTAACATGCTGCCCTCATGGAGCCCTGACCTGCAGAGAAGATGCCACAGGTGGTGGTTTCCCATTTTTAAGAGAGAGAAGCTGATGCTTAGAGGTAAGTAGCTGGCCTTGGCTCTACCAAGTGACAACCTGGTCAGCCATAAGACTCTGGCCAGATTCACCTGGCTCCTGCTGAGGACTGCGGTAAGTAGCTGGTAAGTATGTGCTGACTGGGCTTCTCTTGCAGGTACGCTGGTACTCCTCTGATACCATTCAGCAAGGATGGAAGTATCATCGCCAGTTCTGTTAGCTCCTCAATGAGTGTTGGCTCTAGGGGTCAGTGTCCTCGGTGCTGGCTGCTTACATGCTGTGGATCCTCTCCCCGTTCCTGGGTGCTTGCTTGGGCTGTAGGCTCCAGAGCCCGCTCACAGTGGGGGGGGGGGGAGCCTGGGAACCTGGCTGCTTCATCCTTCTGTCCTATCCTTACTCTGTACCCCCTTTACAGCCTCCCACAGCCAGTTCCCATTCCACTTTGCTGATGGCTCTCTCTCTCCCTTCCCTTCAGGTCTTATCACCCTGGAGTTGGTCCTGGGTTATGTGGGGCCAAAACAGGGCTCTGCCATCACTGCCACCCGAGGCCTGTGCAGAACTGCTGTTTCCCTCTAGACACTGTGAATCTGAAGCCTGACTTCTTCTGTTTTGTTTTGTTTTTTTGTTTTTGTTTTTTTTGTTACACAGAGTTCAAAAATACTTTTCATGTTTTAGATGGTTTTGAAGTTCAGGAAGAATGAGGCGCAGAGGCAGAGTGGGGTGTACTGGGGAGGCAAGCACAAGGAAGGCTTCTCAGACTGGAAGCTGGTCAAGCCTACTCCTCACCACTCCCGACTCCTGCACCCACCCTGCTTCAGGGGGACCTGAGCCTGTGGTCACTTCTGCCTTGGGGGCCCCAGCTCCTGACACACACACACACACACACACACACACACACACACACACTCACTCACACACACACACTCACTCACACACACACTCAGTTCCCATCCAGCAGCAGATCCACAGCCTCTGAATTCCACTTCAGAGTCCTGCATCATGTCCTTCTTCAGGCCGACAGGTGTCCAACCAAAATGTGAAAAGTATTTTTGTACCCTGTGTAACAAAATATTTATGGATCATAAAGGATTTCTCATGTGTTTACCATTAATTATTGAAGAGACCTGGTTCAGCCTGTCAGATGAGTTTAATGTTTAGTTGGAAGCATGGAGAAGAAAAGAGGTTTCCTTCCTTTAGCAGTCAGCATGAAGGATACATTGTGCAATTTTGTTTTATTTTACAAGCATGTCTGTGCTTTGCCTTTCACCTCAGCTGGGATGATGTCCGGCTACCTGGGAAGATGATGTTTAGAGGCGGCTGTTATAATTGGTGACCCTGTGAGAATGTGAAACTGGATCATAAATGAAATGCAAAATAAAAACCTGAAGTGACTGCGCTGATCTTTGCTTCTACAATCCATGGGGTGCAGGCTGCTGGGCCGAGGGGTGACAGCAGAGAGGACAGAAACAGTCCTGGCCTGGCAGCCATCTGGGTGGGGACCCCTCAGACCTGCTGTTGTATTGCCTTCTGTACTAAGCTGAGGAGCCTGTCCCAGAGTGGGGAGTGACTGCACCAGGGTCTTCAGGAGCATGTTCTCCGTCATCCATCCATCCTGTATGATCCTTGCTTGGAGAATTCTGAAGGTGTAGAGAGCCTTGATCCCTGCACCCAGTCAGGAACCCGAGTGTGCCTTTATCTGCTCACCCTCACCCTTCCAACCCCTTGGCCTTCTCAAGCTCTCTAGTGTAGAAATACTGAAGTTGGTGTGCTCGGTTCTCTCTCTAGAGTCTGACTTTGTGTACCGCGAGGTTGGCCTGTAGGGACAGAGAGGATCCACAAAATCTTGCCCATGATGGGTTAAACTAACCCATGCTGTTAGCTGTGGACTGCAGCTGGTTCCTGGGAAGAGAATAAAAGATCTTCAAGGTTAGATTGTGCTGGGAGCCTGGGTTGCCATGGACAGAGTGCCCGTAGCCGCTCTAACTCTGCTGTGACATGGTGTTTTAGTCTTACATGAGAAGTGACTCCTCCTAGAGGGAGCTTTTAGAGTTTGCTTCTTTATCCACCCCTGGTCCCGGAGGGCAGGGATGGTGAACAGAGCCTGCATGCTATTGGTTTCCTCTGAGCAAAGGTGCTGTGGCAGGCTCCAGATGAACCTCGATGACTGGCACCACACCCCTTCTCTTATGTGGGTTGGGTGTAGGGTGTTAACTGCTCATGTGTCAGGGGTGACATGCGTCTAGGTGCTAAGTGGGCTGAGAGGGGCCCAGGCAAGTACAGGCTTTGGGGAAACTCGACCTCTCACTGCTATGTGATCTTCCCATGCAAGCAAGGGCCTTCCCAGCCTGCAGCTCCTTCAAGCATGGAGAAAAAGCTGTTATGTGTTTGACAGCCCCCTCCCGGGGCCATACCATGGTCTGACCTACTTCAGCTGTGTCAGGATCCATTGGGTCTTCCCAAGGTGCTGAATTATTTAGTTGGGGCGATTGGGTCTTCCTAAGAGGGACAGAGAAAGCTACTCCATAATTTAAAGGCCCCTATGCCTGTGGCTTCAGGGAAAGAGGGTGACTTCTTCACACTTTACTGAGCAGAGCCTTGGCCTCCGTCTGAGAGAGGAAGGGAGGGTCCTGCACCGTTTCCAGCTGGAGCTTTGCTGAGGCGGGCCTCTGCAGAAAGGCCTCCATGGACAGTCACATCTGGACTGGGGTTGAGTTCACAAGCAGAGCCATCCATAATCAAGGGGCTGTGTGGCCTTGTTGGAGTAGGCGTGTCACTGTGAGCATGGGCTCACAACCCTCACCCTCACTGCCTGGAAGTCAGTCTTCCACTAGCAGCCTTCAGATGAAGCTGTAGAACTCTCAGCTCTGCCTGCACCATACCTTCCTGGATGCTGCCACACTCCCATCTTAATGATAATGGACTGAACCTCTGAACCTGTAAACCAGCCTCAACTAAATGACCTTATAAGAGTTGCCTTGGTCATGGTGTCTGTTCACAGCAATGAAACCCTAACTGAGACATCATGTACATGACTGGTACCTGCAGAGGCCAGAAAGAACATCAGATTTCCTGGAACTCTGGAGTTGTGAGTCAGGGTATAGGTGCTATGAATCAAACACAGGTCCTGTGCATCAAGTGCTTTTAACTATTGAACTCTCTAGCCCAGGAATACACACACACATACACACACACACACACACACACACACACACACACACACACACACACACAC